GGACAGGGAGGTGAATTTCCAGTGAGGGGTAGTGAGTGCCTACTTTGGGGTGGGTAGTTGGTGCAAGGGGGGCTGGGGTGGAGATGTTGATGAGCAATTGGAGATGTAGAGAAACTTAAGAGATTGTGACCAGGGGCTCCTTTCTCGAAAGTCCCAGTAGTTACCGGCCCCGAGAAGGTTTTATTTTTGTTTGCCGAGTTTACAATACATTGAAGATCGAGATATTAATAGTTTTGAAACAATAAACATACCAGGAAACCAAACAAAATGGTCTGATTTTTGAGCGGAGTCCCACACTACTATTCCTTAGATGTAGATCTTATAGTATAATTCCAGGCACGTAAAGTTACCAGGGACGGATTGACTGCAGCGAAAAATAGAGGCCCAGGAACTACGATTGAAGCCTGGGAATGAGTTTACAATAGAAACATTACCACATTAGAAGCTTAAAAACATGCTGCGCAGCTTTCTGCGCATCCCTACCCCTACTTGCAGGCTCAGGTAATAGTACAGGCTGCAATGGTAGAAAGAAGAGCGGACTGATAATAAGGTACGCGAGGATATCGTTCAGTTGATTTATTTATAATTGGGCGCAAGTTTTATTCCGCATTTCACTGTTGAGAAAAGAAGTCTCCCCCTGCCTGCTGAGAGGCTCTCTTGCTTATATATTGACTGGTTTGCTTGAATGGATGCAATATGTAAAGAGTGTTTGTGGCAAAAATGTGTCTTCGCACCNGCCCCACTTGAGGGCTCAACAGCAGACTGCTTATAAGGTACGCGAGGATGTCGTTCGGTTGATTTATTTATACTTTGGCGAGCATGAATTTCTTTCGGCATTTCACTGTTAAAGGCTCTCCCTGCCTGCTGAGAGGCTCTCTTGCTTGTATGTTCAGTGGTTTGCTTATATGGATGCAATATCTAAAGAGTGTCTGTGGAAAAAAAATGTGCCTTCGCACCGAAATTTCTTGTATTCCGCGGGAAATAAAGGGTACGGAAACTGTCTTTACGTTAATTTTGTCCGAAAAAAATTGATTCCCCACGGAAACAATACACCAGCTTTCCATTAATGACGTGAAAATGTTGCTGCTCATCGGGAAAATAAGGAAAGCATATAAAGTTCGCAACCTTTTTTGTTCACACGATTAACGAAATTCTCGCCATTTTATCAAACTTGGAGCCTGGTGCGGGGTCAAAACTTGGGCATGCTTATTACCTTTTTTCCGCTCTGAAGACAGCGAAACTGCTCGCAGCGTTCCTTTCTACCAGTTAGTTCCATGAAATACCCCTTTCGAGTGGCGCTAGTCATAACTACCTTCTTTCCACAAAGTACCACAAAGTAATCCAAAACGGTAACTTCTTTATTTCCTTATGTCCTATCTAAGTTGGTATTCCTTGAAAAAAAAAAGCTTCTACTAGACCTGTTACAACATGTATTGAACGAGTGTACTCCAGGAGTATTCTACAGTTCTCAGTTGTCTACCGTGACATCCATTTACGTTACAGTACATCAGGAATTGGTCACATTTGCTGTTATCGGAACTGAAGATAGAACAAGAACAGACATTTCAATAAAAACTGGTACGGACTTTGTTATAACCCTCGGGAGATGCTCATTAAGGGTATCTCAATCCTGTATCCGGCTCTCCCGCAGCCTCGTTGGATTTTCGCTCTATTTTTTATCGTTGCTTATTCAGCTTTGTGACTATCATTTCAGTAATCAGTTTTTTTACAGTGAACAAAAACCAGCCAACAATAAAGAACCAAACAGCACTGGTAGAAACGTGTTTTTTTTGTAGCTCATACAGTGTATTTTCAGCTCCCTTCTCAGTGTTTGGAAATTACGTGGTACATTGAAATGCACCATGTGAGGACAGTTTTTCTGTGTGGCGTCATGACATTTTCGTATTACGTGATGTACATTCACAACGTGTTTATCTTCAAGAGGACAACTTATCGTGTCGAATGCGTCTAAAAAAACCGCTCCGAATTTGTCCTGATCATGTTTTGTCTTCAGCCGATAAACAGCGGCCATGCTGATAGTTCTATGGCAGACAGAAAGCGCGGTAAGCTTTCCTCTTGAAGATAAAAACGTTGTGAATGTACATCACGTAATAAGAAAATGTGGTGTCCTCACGTGGTGCATTTCAATGTACCACGTTATTTGTTTGAAACAGACTCGCAGCATCAAAAACGTTACTCTGAAGGCGGCAAAAAACGTCGTAGGCGTCGCAGTCTACTTGGAAGAGTAGTATTGCTATGAAAGCTAATTGCTATAAAACGGGAGATAAGGAGGATCTAGCAAGCTTTTACTTTTATAATTGGCTACAGGTTTCGTGATCATGGTAATAACCAAATTCAAATGTGATCTTGGCTACAATTCAGATCCGTAGTGTGACTGGATCTTAACAGTCTATCTATTTTTTTTTGTTTCTATAGTAATAGCACAACTCCGAATAGCAACTAAGCCCTCAGGACACACTTGAAGGTTACTATACCGGTGGAGCTGTCTCACGTCCAAGCGATGTAGCGCGTCCGTTTTAAACCCCTATATCAACTTGAAGCCCGTTGAGGAGGCTNTTACATTTATCATTCACTACCCCTAAATTACAAGTACATACATAATTCTTGATAGAAGCTGACTAAAATTTGATATGCACATTCCGACCTAGTTTGACAGACTTTTAGAATCCTTTTATAGTTGTCCAGGAATGACTCTGAATTGGGACATGAATTAAATGTGGTGTCTTCATTCAGGAAAATGTCACTGAATAGACAAAAGAAATATAATAATAAGCTTACCCACTTTAATTTAGTGTCACTCCCTGATTCTCATAAGTGGCTGAAAGCACCTTGTTTTGTTTCCTCAAAGGAACTATATTGCATTGTTATATCCTAAATAAATGCTACATGTACATGTATAAATTATGGTCTGCTTATAATTACATGTATTACCAATGTGCTTACCAAAATAGTTGTTCATGAAGTGTAAGTTACAGATTTTCTACTTCAGTCCAGTCTTGAATGGGATATGGGTGAAAAATTTTTATCACACAATGGCTGTTTACCATTAACCTAAATAGTTTGGAAATTTTGTCAGAATGTAAATCATAAGGCAAATTTCGGTAAATTGTTTTTTCTTTCATAGTGCATGTAAATGGCCAATCTGAACAGAACTTACCACCGGGCATATTTACACTGTACTGTCCATTTGCATAAATTGACAACGAAGTAGTTTCTCCGTGTAAATGGTAAACAACCATTGACATGTCTTACGTTGTAGATGTACACATTATCTTATAACCTTGACTAGCCTGGTGGCCAAGTCAGCTGGCGTCCGCCCAAAACATGGATATGAATGTGATACACCTCTTGGCCTCCATCTTTACCATCATTGATCACTACACGGAAGCCTTTAGCCAGATTCTGTTCTGCTGCAACCTTTCTGGCAACCACAAGTAGATGGCCTAACAACTGCAAAACAAGGTAAAAAGAGATTTCATTCACACCAACTGAAAACAAATTGCACTTCTACAGTGTATTGAACTTACTTACTACCTTAGCTTGTAGGCATGTTTCTACTGAGTTACAGAACACTTTTTCTACAATATATTTTGTCTGAAAGTACAGTGTAGGTCATTAATTGTCAAGCCAGGACCCCTTTTTAAGCTGACAAGAAGCCAGTCTGGTTGTACAAAAAAAAACCCTCCCTGCAATGGCCACCTTGGGAACAGAGTAAAGTGCCTTTTGTAAGGAGGAGGCCATTATAGGGAGGTATTTAGGGACCCGTGTAATACGACACCTTTGTTTCATGGGTTGCAAAATTTTTAATACAAAAAAAAAAATGCTTTATGTCACATATAAATATGTAAAACAATAAATGTACGTATAAAACCCAAAAAGAAACAAAGACCAACTATGTATGGTATGGAGCAAGTGTCCTGACCTTTAGCAAAGGTTCATCAGTCGATAAACTGGCCATTGTCAAGGGGTTATTTTGGCTAAATAAGTGTGAATGTACATGTAAGGACCGTTTGCTGGTGCAAAACATAGGCATGCAATGCATGCAAGAGTTATTTTGTTTGTGAATTAAAATAATAAATGGTAAACAATGTTAGTGTTGTAAGTTGTGTTAGTATCGTTAAATCGTAAGTTACACTGTATGTTACTACTGTAAGTAGAGTAAGTATTGCTAGCAATGTTGGTAATGTTTATTCTTAAAAAACAAAGCCCCTGGAGATAGCTGATGGGTTTACCCTGGTTACATATGTTTTATTATTTCTTAAATAGCAGCACTCAGTGGACTCTCGACAGTTATGAGAGGGGTAATCCAACAAGTTTGTTTGGTTATGATGTACAGCTGTCAAGGGACTTTTATAATTGGCTTAACGTCAAGATTCGCACCAAAGAACAAACAGGCCCTAAATGTTGGAGCAAAAAACTCCCATTACAGAAAGATGTATGGACTAAGATCTTTAAATCACTGAGAAACATTTATAGGGAATCTAAACTAGAAGAGTTTCAATTTAAATTCATCCACAGAACGATAGTAACTATAAGAAAGAACTATTCAGATTATTTTGGTATTAAGGCAGATGATGAATGTCTATACTGTGGAGATAAAGATTCAATTGAGCACTATTTTGTCAAATGTACATTTACCAAATTGTTTTCCCATAAGGTCTTGAACTGGTTCAACCACGTGAATGCATGCCAATTCTCTCCTACCATTGAGGAGACCTTGTTCGGTATTACTGCAAGCTCCCACGACACAACAATAACAANAGTAGTCCAGGTTCGAGCCCTGGCTGGGATATTGTGCTGTGTTCTTGGACAAGACACTTTACTCTTGTAGTGCCTCCTAGTTTTACAGTTCGTTCTGTATCCTGCTGAGGAGATTAAAGAATCTGTAATTCTGCCAGCTATGTCATTTTGTTTTGTTCTGGATCGATTCTGGAGTCTATTTAGTTAGTGAAAAGTCACCAGTAATAAGGGACCTAAAAGATACTTGCTGGGACCTGAAGTATCCTGTAGGAACTTCAAGAATGCTTACGTTGACCTGATGCAGATCCTCAAGGATCTTTGCAAAGACTTGGCAGGGACTTGAAAGAGCTTTGCAGGTTCCTACAAGATCTTTGAGGAAATGGATGAAGATCTTGCAAGATCCTCATGAAGATCCATAAAAGATCCAAATAGAGATCTTAAAAGATCTTGTAGGGTGTTTCACCAGGCTGGTAGCACTTGGCTGATGTTCAACTGTAGTCAGACAGAACACTATAGGTTTCTTGGTACTCATGCTATTGTTGAGTGACTGTTGTCTATGAAAACTTAACTACCCTTGACCACCCTAGAGGAGTAAACTGGCACAATCTAGTTATAAACAAGCTGTTTTACATGTTGTCTTACTTACTTGTTCATCTGAATCATCTGCCTTGGACAATTGAGGTATTGGCTTCTTTGGAATAACCAGGAAATGCACCGGGGCCTGGGGATTAATGTCCTTGATGGCGACGCACTGTTGACATTAAAATGATAAAAATATTGTACAGCAATTCTGGCAAAATTTTAAGCTTAAATTTGCTAAATGTACTTTCACTTTTCATCTCACGACTTCCGGATCTTACTATATTTTTATCTTTGTTCCTTAAAGGACTGAACACTGTCAATATTTGTGAAGCCGTATTAATTAATTGACGTAGGACCACTGAATGGAATGAAAACAAGTAGAAATAAATGCCATACCGTCTCACGTTTAACTTAATTTAAATTTCAATTGAAACGTGGTCGATTCTGAAGTTTACAAAGTCGGAGAATAGTGAGAGTAGTATAAGCTAGCTTTTACGCATTTTAAAGCTTAAAGTTACCATATCAAAAACGAAGAGCCGAACTGCAATACCTGGTCATCCTCGTGGAGGAATTCTGATGGTATCTCTCTCCGAATGATCTTAGAGAATATACTGTCCCCTTCCGCCATTTTGAATACAGACCACCACCCATGATTCCTTGCAAACTAATCAGACGTCACGTGTTGGGGGCGGGGGGAGGGTGGGGGATCACAAAATGAAAAAAACAACAAACAAAATAATTATGTTTTTTGTGGTTTTACGTGTTCCCTTCTTCAGGGGTATTTATTCTTTTTGCTTGGGAAAGTCCAGAACGGCCTACTGATGTGAAGAATGGTTTTGTGTTGCACCAATTTCTGCAAGTCAGTGTTGTGACATTAATACCGTGACACTTGTCACGGTGTTTGCACAAACTGGAACCAGTGCTTCTCCGTGCGACGCTCCTGCCGCTCGTGGGAGTTGAATGGCCTTGAATGGAAAGCGGAAAGCTAGCTTTGCAAATCTTTAATTGGAAAGATCGGGCTTGCCCAGAACTACAACCCACGCTTTTTAGTTTGTATTTAACATAAAGCTGACTACAGTTGTTTGTGTGGTCACTAGATTTGCTATAAAGAGAGAGGTGCACAGAGTGAAGTTTCACAAAGTACATCGTGCTTCAGAGTTGAGTTCCAAAGAAGTAAGCTCAATTCAACCAAGCCGTTTCTAACAAACGATGTCTCTGCGAACTCGCCTTCTAAGAAAACAGTCTTCTCTAGCCATTCTGGTGGAGCAAGAACGAGAAACTTGCGAATCTGCAAGCCGTCCAGCATCCGAGGCTGATCTAACTGAAGATGACCCTCATGAGATGGACGATCTTGAAGAAGACATCGCACCAGAGGAATTGTCAAACTTGCCGGACGAAGAAGCTTTTCTTGACGACAAAGGCGACAGTGATTCCGAAGGAGGCGATACAGATGTGCCACTTTCCAGTGAAGACGAAAATGAACCTGTGGAAGTTTCAGTTGGTCCAGCAATGAATAAGAGGTCGTTCTCCGCGTTCGTTCGCGAAGGACAAGCGCGCGCGACCGAAGAGGATCCTCCAGTCAGGCTTTCTCGCCGGCTGATGTCCATGAAGAGACGTGGAGTGCTTCACGCACCGGTAGAACTGACTGAGGAGTTTGAGTTTTATGCTGGTGACTTCTTAACTGTTCGCGGAGAGGAGGACGATTTCTATGTTTGTCGTGTGTTGGAAGATGTCCCTGAAAGCGCGACCAGTTTCAACGTGGCTTGGTTCAACAGAGTCGATGAAAATGTGTACGAGGTGGGATTAAAACGACTGCTTTTATTGTAATCTTTCCGATTCTTTAATAGACTGGTATCGTACGTAAGTGTTAATTGTGTACAGTATATATTCAAGGGAGAAAAAGACTCGCAAATCATCCTTTGTCAAAAGATTGAAAGAAGTCAGACCTCATAAGCTTGTTAAAAGTTTTCAAGAGTAGTTGTTAGTGTTTGAGGCGCGTTTCACCAGCTTTTTGAAAAGACTGACGGCGAGAAATGTTCCAGAATTGCTTATAAAAGATTGTCGAGCCCGGATTTTCTACAGTTGCGGTAAACAAAGGTTAAAAGGATTGCGTGAATTTTTTATTGCGTGACATTGCCACACCCACAGTTGAAATATGGTTCTCTGATTTTTTTTCGTCATTTTGCTCAGTAAATGACTTTCAAAGGCAATATCAGAGTAACTTTGACACTCTGTGGGTCAGAAATTCTGGCTTAGCTTGTTATTAAAATGATTATTGATAAACACGCCTTGATTATTATTATAAATGCCCAAGTTTTTCGTAAATTATTCTATTGCTCTTCTGTTTGGAGCAATACTACTCAAGCTAATTTGGACAAGCTCCAAGCAGTTCAGAATTTCGCTTGTCACATTTTGCGCGGCACTAAAAAATTCGATCACATAACTCCTTTGCTAAAAGACTTGCACTGGTTACCAGTGAGGCAACAGCTTTATTTCCGTTTTGCTGTTCTGGTTTTCAAGTGCATGGCAGGATGTGCTCCAGAGTATTTGACATCTAAACTTGTCAGAAGATCCGCCGTCTCGACAAGGACTACCAGGAACTCTCAACTTTTGAACATACACTCTTCCGCACTGCCAGCGGTCAAAGGACTTTTCAATATAGAGTGACCTCTCTGTGAAATGAGTTGCAGCCTGAACTTAAACTCTGTCCATCCGTGACAGATTTCAAGTGCCTACTCAGGTGTAAGCTTCTTAATGACTGTTTTATTTAATTGTTATTCAACGTTTGTCTTCTTTTTAAGTTATCATTGTTGTGTTTGGCTTTCTGCGTTTTTAAATTTTGTAATGTAACATTGACTCTGAAAAGCCCCGTGTGGACAAGCCAATAAAGTATGTATGTATGTATGCATTATCAATAACCAGCTAAGCCAGAGTTTCTGAGGAGGCTAATTATTATTAACCTCCTCAGATTTTTCATAGCCACAGTGTACATCCCTGGGTTTTAGTGACCTACAATGTAATTCCTCACTGTTTTACACGTATATGCTCGGCTCTAGTTATCAATTGGTTTTACCCAAATTTGGTTGATTCACAGTTTTAGGGGGTACAGTACACCTTCACTCATGCAGCGCTTTACTGAGCAAGAAAAGGGCAAGTGTCACACTACCTCCTCCCTTGTTTGAGCAAGAAAGAGTGCCTTAATTTTTGAGTCCTTCTTTCTCATACAGGAAAGAGTGAACCTTCACTTCCCCTTTCTTATCCGTAAACCCTTTTTCATGTCGGAAAGGACCCAGTTTCATTCCAGTGGTTCTTTTTTGTGAGCCTGAAAGAATCCATTTTTACACTTTCACATTACTCTCCTTTTGAGAACTTGTAGATGTGCCACACTACTTCATTGCTCAAGAATATTAATTGTGCAGACAATTTTGAATCAATATTTTAGGTTTCATTTGATGATGTTTGCCACATGGATTCTGTCATTACGCGAGTGGCCATGTCAGAGGTGGAACCTGAAAAGTTTGCTATCTCCAAACCACACATTAAACAAACTAAAAAACTGTTAAAAGAAGCTTTGGCTGCTGAAAGAGGAGAAGATGATACCATGGAAGATGAAGGTACCGTGTTGTGGATGTAATTAGCTAAACTATGGAGACTATAACAAGAGGCATTTACTATAAAGATCCAACCATTGTAATGAGTCCAGCAACTAGATTTATATTCATAAACTTAAGGGTACTACCATTTTTGAATCCTGTAACACACATTTCTTGGTATTCTCATACAGATCTCATTTAATAAACTTGTTTATATTTTATATGTTTAATGTACGTGGAAATGAGGAAATTCTGTATCAGGCCACGTGTCCAGTCTCGCTAGAGCTCCCATGTATGTACAAGTCATGTATGTATATTCTAGTTTCCTTGGTGTGAAATGACTAAGGGTACATTTCTGCTTCCCTGATTGGGTGTTAATATTAGTCCATTGCAGAATTTCCCTTAGCAATAAATTTTACTATTTCCCATTTATAAACTTGGGTGGAGAGAGGCACTTTGGGAGTAAGGTGTGTTACCCAAGAATACAACATAATGATGCTGGCTAGGAATCAAACACCACGGCCACAGGTGTGGCAGTGGTACAGTTTCACACCAGTTAGACCAGTAGTCCCACTGGGCTCAAATGCAGACTTTACCTAACTAGTATACTATAATTATGGTATGGCAAACTACTAACCTGAACTATCAGTTGTAATGTTCTTATAATTGTGTGTATAATGTAGAGTCTGAGAGTGAAGAGGACGCTGCGGATGAGGAAGAAGAAGATGAACCTCCTGCAAAAAGAACACGCAGAGGTTCCAGGTCTGCATCCACTCCCTCCCCAGCAAATAAAGGTAAGAGAGGGCAGAGGAAGAGTGTGACTACACCCCCAAAGAGCCCAGGCCGGAAGCGAAAACCTGCTGAGCCCAAGGCAAAGCAGGAGAGAAAGAAGAAGGCAGTTGCAGAGAAGAAAGATAAACCAAGACGTGCAGGAGTGCTGATTCCTATTGAGAATATAGAGTTGCTTGAGAAAGATCCAACATTTGAAACCAGGTTTGTTTCATTCCAGCTAGTGGAGATAAAAATAAATTTAATAAGAGGAGGCCAATAATGTAATACTTCCCATATACTTCTGGTTCTTTACAACTTTTGCTGAGCGACATACATGTATTAACAGAAGAAAAGTATTGAACTGTATGCAGCAATGTAATTTTAAGTATACTATTAATAATTTTTTAGCCAGTTTTCAAGAAGTCACGCCAAAACTGTACATTGACCAAACATAGGTGAAAATGTTTGTTCTTAATAGAAAACGGCATTCTCTTCTTCCGTGTTTCAGAGAAGAAAATTGACAAAACTAATTTTCGAGTGCTTCTTTTGAATGAGCCATATTGAAAATTTATGCTAGTCATAGAGAGCCAATCAAAATAATGCTCTTCTTCCTCATAATTGAAATAACCTATTGCCAGATCATTTTTTATTTTATTTTAGAGATGATGTTTCTTTGATGCCTGTGAAACTGGCAATCAGAGCAGTGTTACTAAATGACATGGAAATGTTGAAGGGTGTTATTGATGACAGAGCAAACGTCTACACGGTATGTGTGCCTTCATTGTTTCTGTTTAAATACTGAGATAAATTAAGAAACATTTGATAATGGATACATCATTCAGACATGGTTTTACATCCTACATCAAATACTTTTATCTTATTTGGTACTTATTTCATGGGTCTTTAAAGTTCGTGATTCTCGTGATTGTAAACAAATTGTGAATAAAATTAAAAGAACCATGAATAAAAATCCTTACAAAATTTAAATACACAAAACTTAGCAGTCCCACACAGAAAATTCAAATCACAGAAAAAAATGATTAAGTACATTGTAATAACAACAACATATAAGGGATATGTCTTCATTTGACAAATACACATTCAAACTAAATCCATTTGTATCTTTTGTTGTGAAATAACGTTTTGCCTTTTGCTTGTTCCGGTTTACCTTAAAAGTTAATTTTTAAAAATGCGTTTTGCTTGTTCCAGTTTATTTAGAAATTTTAAAAAGTTCAGACTTTTGAAAAATTAGGTGTAGTTGAGAACGCTTGAATCGTGAAATTTAATGCCGACTGTAGCTTCACAAATTACACAGTACTAAACCTGTTTGATTTATTTTCTGCTCTGGTAGGTTCACTGGCCCAGAAGTCCTGATATTCAGTTATCAGCATTACATTATGCACTCCTGAATGAGAACCATGAAGCCCTGAAACTTTTATTGTCAGAGCTACACAATAATGCATCTGCATCACGTCGCTACAATGAACCTACAGTTTCACTTGATCGCATGGATACTGGAACGTGAGTAATTTTGGGGAATTATCTGTGCATGTAATGCTGTACTGTTTGTCTTTCATTTTTATAAATCCTGTCCTACACTGTTTTGTGATTGTGCACATTAACACTCTACCTTGTACATTAATTGTACTTTAGTCATCTGGAAAGTCATCTGGACATGTACGTTTTGAATGTTTGATCCTGTGTTTCTACATTGTGTTCATTTACAGTGCATACATAAAATTTTGTACTTTAGATATCAATAATTATAGTGCTGAATATTAAGCCTGGCTGCACTCTATAATTTATGGTATATATAGGCATGACAACCTTATGATTTCTGGATTCAGAGGTCCTAATGTTTGAGCCTTAGCTGGGGGCATTATGTTGTGTTCTTAGGCAAGATACTTTACTCTTGTATTTAAATGGGTAATTGCAAATTTGATGCTGTGGGCCGGGTAACCCTGGGGTGCACTACAGTGTGGCTGTTCATCCAGGGGGAGAGGGGGAGAGTAGAAATACTCCTTCAAATTGTTACAGAAAATGTGCTGGTCTGGCTGCCAGCCACTGACTTTTCTCTTTTTTAGATGTTTGGTACTGTAGGTAGGTAAAGTTTGTATATGAAAATATGCTTATCCCAGTTTCAGAAGCACAAAGTGACTAGGAGTATTTCTACTTCCCCCTGGATGGGATGCTAGTCCATCACAGGTTTACCTTCCAGCATTAAGTTTGCTGGTACCCATTTATACACGTGAGTCAGGAGAGAGGCAATATGAGAGTAAAGTGTCTTGTCCGAGAACACAACACAATGTCCCTGGCCAGGGCTAATGAACCAGGACTGCTTGATTCAGAGGCAACTGCACTTAAACCATGAGGCCACTGTGCTTGCCACTTCTGGCATATACATGCATGCGTACAGATTTATTCAGAAGTCAAGTTCCTGCCTTGTTCTTTGAAAGCACCTTTTTTTTGCCAGTTCATTGTGAATGCTCATCTCTTGTCTTCTTGCATGGTCATAATTTGTGATTGCTTTGGTTTTAGCATTATGCAACTGGAAATGACTCTAGCTAGTTGAGTACATTTTTAAAATGTAATTGATAAGACAATCAACAAATATACAACAACAACTTAAAGCTCTGCAGGCTGATGCGGGTTTCTGTTCTCTTTGCAGATATAACTTTTACACCTTTGGTCACGCAGTGAGAGAGCTACACTCCAGCAGAGGATCTAGAGAAGGAAATAATGCATTCCTTTGTGTGAGAATATTTTTACCTAGATTTCATTTGGCTATAATCAGAGTACAAATTAGTGTTGACTTGGACTTAAAGTTGAATAAACGAATACTCTTTACACTGGTACAACTGCCAACAAAAGTGGCAGTTATATAGTCAAGATATCTAGAGTGGCATGAATTACAAGTACAGTACATGTATACTGGAGGAAGTTAAATAGCCAAACCACTTTTCAAATAGCTAAACACTAATTGAAATTAGTGAGTATTTAGACAATAGCCCTTTAATTGTATTCAATTGTGGTATGCATGTGAATGTCTTAAAAAATTATAAAAATAATGTGCATGTATTTATGTATATATATTACATTTGTACTTTGATACTTAATGAGTAATGAATTAAAATTATCCTTTTTATTCTAATTTTTCATTCATTTTCAGGATATAAATGGATTTCACAAGAAGGGCCATCATTCCTCACATCTTTTGGAATTCTGCTTCACGAAAGGAGTTCCACTTGAGACTGTAAAAATACTTTTGAACGAGTTGAGTGTAGTGGAGAAATCAACTCTCCATGACCTAGAACAGGTACAGTATCTAAAAGAAAGACACTGAGTGTATATATTATTCCAAAAAAAGTGTTTTCACCTCCTTGTCTCTATTTTACCTGTGTATCCCCCTCCCTCCCTCTTGGGACATATGTGTACACCTTGTGTAGGGAAAGGGTGAGTCACAAGGCACTTGGGTTGTATTGCATATGCAGTGCACAGAATGTACAGTACACAGAATTAGAACCTCTGTAGGTCACTGGGTAGGTTGTGGGGCAGGTAAAAGAGTGCATGTGGGGTAATTAAGTACATGCACATGTCTAGGACCAGTAACTTGGTACATTATTATTTAGTCCAAGGGTTAGGACATAAGACATGTCTTGGGTTAGGCCATGACTTAGCTTATTAAGAAAGTCATTTGGTAGGCCATATGTTAGTACAGTTTGTATAGGTTGTAGTAGGTTGCACCATTGTACATGCATGTATGTGTAGATTGTAGGGCATGTCACTGCCTATGTGACTATGTAGTCCTTAGGATATTGGGCATAGATGGATTGCCCAGGTGAGTCATTTCATGGGGCGAAACATGGGGTGGACATGTAGTGAACGATCCACATAATTATCACTGACAATAAAAGGTACATTCACAGCTTATATAGTGAATATTCAGACATATGTGGCATGGTAAATATTTACACTGAGTAGGATTCAATTAATATTGCTTAATACATTTTAGACAGGTATTAACAGTATATGGAAGGCTATAAGACATGGAAACAGAAAAGTGGCTGGCTACTTTGTTAGTAAGGGTGTGGACAAGTTTGGATTTGGGTTCAACTTCCTGCATAAAGAGGTACAGATTTTTCAGATTGTAATTTTAATTGCACTCACATAGAAATTTTATAATAATTTGGTTCATGTGAATGCTTACAAAAATTTTATGTGCACATGTGATGTAGTTGTTTATGCCCATAATAAATTAAATATATTAACTGTTTTATAGTTAACACCACTATTTTGGGACCTTCAAGAGCTTTTTCAGCCTTATATTTATGTTAAAGTAGTGATACATGTACACGTTTGACAGTACTATTATAATAGTATAATAGTGTAATAATATAATAGTAAGATGAATTGACTTGTAATGTACAGTTAACACAGTACACATTCGATAACTCTCTGGAGATATAAGACTGTGGTTACACATACCAAGGTAAATAGCATTCTCAAGGTATTAACACCAAGGTTATGTAAACTCACTGTGGGAAGTACGTTACCGAGGTGTTTGTAGTCACACACAAAACTCTTCACCTGAAGGTCAATCTTTCATTCTTCGGACTGGTGTGAAATGTGAAAAATGGATAATTCGAGGGAGCTTACTAGTATGATCTTGCTTTTATTACTTATGTTGTTCCATGAGTCCTCTACTGCTTTATTATGTCAGCGTTTCATACAGTGAAGAATTAGAAGGTGAAGACTCTGTTTGCGCTTTATAAATGCCAATTAGCTCACAGTTTCTACTACTTGACAACACTGCGAATTATAATCGTGTATCACATGCACGTGCTCTCTGAAGTGTTTGGGTTCTTCCACGTCCACAAATGTGGTTTCAACAGCTACTGAATGATCATGCATCAGGTCAAACCAGCAGCACTTGGAAAAGCATCTTGAAAACTGGGCATTTCACTGGGCCCATGAAGCTGGCAGGTTTGATTAAATAAGAATCTATTATTAAACTCTCCTTGTTAATGCTGGTTGTTTCTAGACTTTCTAGGCCTAGAGATGAAATCAAAATACATCTAAGATATTGCACAATAGATCTTCCTTGACTTGTATTTAAATGCAAAATTTCCAAAAAATAACCTTATACTTACAAATTGCATGCCATTAAGCCATGATTTGAAGAAAGACCATGTTTTTGCTGCCTTGAACAAGCAAAGTTGACCCCCGGAAATCTAAACCTCACGCCATCATATTTGAATTAAATTCCTCTGTCTATTTTATTTGCTTATCTTTAAGGCTTGCCTTGCAATTGGTCATTAATTTTATCTTGGGGTACTTGAATAACCTGCCTATTTACCTTGGTTAATGTCATGGGTGATTCTTTTGTTCTTTTTGATGCATTCATGGAAATACACCACGGTAAATTTACCTTGGGAAATGGCAGTCACACATGATTTGTGAGTTTCCTGAGGTAAAAAGCTCTTTTACCATGGTAAAAGGAAGATGTGTAACCACAACTATTGTGACCGTCCAAAAAGTTGTGACATGTACAAATGTTACATGTACCTTTGAAGTGCCTGTATGGCAGTCTTAACAATTTAATGATACATGATACATAATTGATTTCTAGACAATTTACATCACATGTATTTGTAGTAACATTATTTGTGAGGAAACAATTTTACCCAATTTAGGAAGTTTAAAAGGGTACTAAATGCAATAAAACGTCTGTTTGCCAGGTACTGTTAAATGACGATGAAGACCTGTCAAACTTTAGAAGCCAGTCGGTGAAGAAGAAACCTGTGGAAAACAAAATTGTAAGTACCGGTACTTGCTGAAGATGAACCGCAGAAATGAAGAAACATGTCTATGCACGTGGAAAGTAATTAAACAAAATTAATGTCTCTCCATTTTCAATGGTACCTTAACTAACAAGAGAAGTCTCTTATTGAATTTGTAACATACAAATCTGTGGATGTGAAACTAGTGCAAACAGTGGACCGGGCATGGGGTTGACAGGCTGTGAGGACAATGTTGCCAACCTGGTTTGACCATCTAAAGGAAAGTTTAAAGTATTTATAATGAAAAGAAGTTCAGGTCAGAATGTTTGGACAGCCTGGCCTGTGACAACCATTTACCCTCCTGCTTAAACTGTTAATGAAACACCTGATAAATACACAGAAATATTAACAATTATATCACAATCTATAACAAAATACCATTTACCCGTAGAGGACGTTAACTTGGGGAACTGGAATGGTCAACTTTTGTTAAATATTTCTACCTACCAATGTACAAAAAACTGTAACCTTAATTTGATGCTGGTCATGATCAGGATCAAGTCATACTCTGTATTTTAGGTCATCACCTTGCTCTTGAGGTACAGTTATACTTGTCTGAGTGAAACCTTTCCTGCTTAAACAGAATAAACAAGGAGTGGATGTAATTCCAATTAAATTCTAGTTCAGTTTACTATGTGTACTCGAGGACCTTATTGTTCATGAATTCATCAGACTTGTAGAGTGCATAGAAAACCAATTTTTGAGCTGCTGGACACGCTGTAACTACAACTGGATGATGTACTAGCCTGAAAGCCATTCTCACTAGGCCCTGAAAAGTACTTACTAGGAGGATGTATTAATTATTAATATATATATTTTTTAATTTGGGTAGTTAATTAATTTCATCAAAAATGTTCTACAAAAACTTCACTTACCCATGTATAGATATTGTCACATGAATACACTTAAGTTAATGTCTCTTGTTCAGATCTTACCAATTCATTGTGCCTGTATCAATCCAAATGGTGACTACCTCAAAGCTCTGTTAAACTCAGTACCAGAACATAGCATCCCAGACAAAGATGGCTTCAAACCGATGCATTATGCTGCTGCCTGTGAAGGTCCTGGCCCTCTAAAGGTGTTGCTGGCAAGGTACTGAATGCACAGTGCTAAAAACTTAATAATTAATTGATTGCAGATCAGCAGCTCTAATCTGTGGTAGTCAGGTAGCATAAAGGAAGTAAAAGTTGTGGTCAAAATATTGTTTCAGAGAATTGATGTAAGCTGTAGGAAAAAAAATTTCAGTCAAGGCTGTGTTCTAAAAATTGCAAGATGTTCAAAGGTCCCTAACCACAAGATCTTGGGTGCTCAGCTCTTAAGCATGTAAATTATGAAGAAAGAAAGTTTTTCTAGTTGCCCAAAAGCAAAAGTTGGTCGCCTGTGGCACCCGAGTGCTTCTAGGGCACAGCCCTGTCAGTGGTGTTGAAAGCAATGCAACACAAGGCATTCCTTCTTTGTATTATTTTGCAAGCTCATATCATTCAGAGAAATTATAGTGCATATTCTTCCAAGTTTGTAAATAATGAAGTTGCTGATATTACTTCAGAGAGGCTATTGTGAATAGTTATGTAAGTTCATTCAAGGTCAGTCATCATTTATTTTGTTAGGGTGTACAATGTAGGATCATGCTTTTACCAGTACTTGTTAAATAAACAAATCAAACTGATCTTTCTTCAGGGGTGCCGACCCAAATGACCCTGGACCAAAAGGTTTCACGCCTCTAATGATTGCTTGTAAGCATGGGCGAGATGAGAATGTGAAAGAACTTGTAGCTATTGAAGATCAGAATATCGATGATATGGAGGATGATCACGAAGAAATCAATAAGAAACCAAGAGTTGCCATTGATGTTAAGAATAGGCACACCAAGGCAGCAATTCACTATGCTGCTAAACATGGACACCTGGTAGGCACTGGTGTTGTTGTTGGCTACTGTATGTGTACTTTTCAGCGGCAGGTACAGTACTGCTCAGAGATAAGCGAACATTGCAGACCTGTTTTTAACACTCCCTCAGTGTGAAGGACATCTGCGTTAATTTGTAGTACGCATTTTCGCTAATGCATTAGCTGCACATGTTTTCTGCTCCACACATTTTCTTTGTTATTCATATAACCGATATCTCTTTAATATGTGATGCTTTGTTCATGACAAACAAAACATGAGTCCAGCTCAAACAAAAGCACAATTAGTAAAAGCACACCAAGCAAAATTCAAATCACAACACAGTGAATTACATGTAACAAGCACAGCTGAAAATTTCACTATCGGCAATACAACTTTGTACCACTACCTGTGAAAATTAGGCCTACTGTTGTTGCAGTTGACAGGAAAATTCGAACACTTTCATATCAAACCAACACTATGCTCAAAAATTCTAATCTCAAGTGCTGGAAAGTGACAGTATCATGACATGTACATGCTGTTGTAGCTTATACCAAATGAAGGTCACACTTTTATCAGGTGGCTTATAACAATAAGTGTAAGTATCACAGTAAAGATACTGCGGTGGATGGGGTTGAACCTGAATATTGCCCTTGTCCTAAATTTGTGGGTTTTCTCAGCTCAGATGTATGAATGTCTCAAACCTATTTATTGGGGCAACCTAGTCAATATACATGTACCAACGTATTGTGATGGACTAGTCAACAGGCACACATTCAGACATAATTGTATGCCAAGTTGTTTCATGCTACAAAAACTGGATTTTAAGTTTTAGTGAGACTTTTGTCTCTTGTAACTGAGTTGTACATGTTCCACAATAATAGATAATTATACATATCAGAAGTATAGTCTAATATACATGGACATTTTAACAATCATTTTCAGTTTTGGTTGGCTACAAAGTTTTTTATGAAGTTGAATTTCAGAGGATGTCAAAGATTGTTTTCCTTTTGTTTAAATAGAGCACCATTAAGTTGCTAGTTGCAGCTGGTGCTAACATAAATCTTCAGACTGGCTCCTTCAGAGGAAATGTTTCAGCCTTGATGCTGGCAGCTGCTAAAGGGCATCTGGATGTTGTTAAAGCACTTGTTGAACTCAAGGCTTCACCTGACAAGAAAGGTAGATCATAACAAGCACATGGTGTTTAATCAAGAAACTGTGGCTGTATCTAGATGTGATAATATTAATCATATCAATTTTGTATCATTAAGCTATACACTTCCTACATACATGTAGTCTGAGGTACCAGTGAACGTTTGAGACAATCAGGTCTGATCCAGAATATGTATTTCCATTTTATTGCAATTTTTAACTTACCGGTACTCCTGGTGCCATTTATTTCTGTATTATTTATCCATCATAGGTAAATGGAACAAGACAGCCTTGATTNAGATTCTTCATATCAGCTGGGGCAGATGTGGATGCCATCAACAAAGAAGGTCATACACCTATTATGGTCGCCATTTTACAGGTGAGTTTCTTCAATGATGTCATCCCAATTGTCAAGGTTACCCACTGGTAACCAGTAATGGTGAACCTTTTTAGTGATGATGCACGTTGTATCATAAATTGACAATGTCTTCGTCATCGCTTTTACTGTAATTCAGAAATTTTAGTGGTCAATTCAGATGATACTTTCTGTTAATTGGTCTTAAAAAGGACAGTTACAGACTGTTATTACACATACCTTAGATGTCCTGGTACTTTCAAACTTTTGTACCGACTCTTTCCTCTATGCTTCCTGTGGTTAATTAATAGGGATTTGTTTCCATGCCAAGAATAATAGTGAAGATTCATCATTGTTTCTGTTCTCTAGATTGAATATTAAAATGAACGACATACATGTATATGCCAGTTGCACCTTCACTTTACCCTAATCCTAACAATGTCCACACATCATTATTTTAAGAACAATTTTCCTCTGATTGGAACACTTTTGGAATGTGGAGCCAAGGGCTCAGTGGGGAAAGATAAGGATGGCTCTCAAGTGTTGCATTTGCAAGCAGGAAAGGCTGATGAACTGGACCTATCTAATCTTTACCCAGATGCTCAAGTTGTAAGTGATTTCTTTGTACAGAATCTGCAGTTTAGTACAAATCCAGCATGTTTGTAGGTACATCAGGGTTCCAGTTGCGGATCCAGTCCTTGGGCTAAAGGTGGGGGGAGGGGGGGTGGGTTTGTTTGCCCTGCAGGCTTCTCTTCCTTCTACGATTTCTTTTTTTAACCCAAACAAGGGGGTTGGGGGCTGGGGCCCCCAGGCTCCTCCCCTATATCCTCCACTGGGTTCTTAGGGCTGTCATCTAGCTAGGCCATGCTAATGATGCCCGCTTTTCTTGGGTAGATAGAGCATGTGTTCATGTGTGTACAAGGTTTGCAGATTTGTTTTTGCGAGAAGCTGATGTTACATAGATTGTGATTTTGTGTTGATTACCAGAAATTAAATCCCAGGAATTTCGTGGATTAACTTCCCTGGCCCCAGTTAATTAAAAGTAGAGGACAATGCAGGTTGTTTTACCAACATGCACCCACTGGATAGTGATTTATCTGACAGATAGTATTATCTATCCTTTGACCTTGTAGTAAGGGCACAGAACTACACAGGAGGATAACGATAACTACAGTGATATTCAGATATGTGAAACCCTTTCAGAAACAAGGGCAGGACGATTGATATGAGTTTGTTGTTTTGTGTTGATTACCAGTATTTGAACATA